TTACCCATCCATGCATCTGTTATTATTCATTCATCCATTCATCTATCCATCCATCCATCCATCCATCCATTCAATTAGCATGTATCCCTATTACATTATCTGTAATATAAGTGAAGTAAATATTATCACTGGCAAAGGACTTGCAAAAATTATGATAATCTTATAAAGTAAAATCTCTCCCTAGCAAATGTCAACTTTAAATAATTATTATCATTAAACACATAATTACTAGACCTACAACGAAGGACCAAGAAAAAAGGTCCTTTCTAGTCCCACCTGTGGATGAAGGCAGAGATGCCTCTGAAACAAATTCCTCAGTTTAAAAACTGGAATCTAGGACACAGGCCTCCAGTAGACAAAAGAGGCTGGAGCCCTGGACCCTTCCTCTGGACCATGAAGTGTCAGCAGGGCTAGGAATGTATTGCTGGGCAGTAGATGTTAAATTGACATCAGCTGCTTAGAACTGGCTGGGAATGTAGAGACAGAAAAGAGAGACACAATTCATAAGAAGTGGGTGGAGCTTCTGAGTCCTGGAGAGCAAGCTAGCCATGGTAGAATAAAGCTTTACACAGTGGCAGGCCAGCTGGATTAAATGCATTTTTTCTGTTTATTTCCTTATTATTCTTAGTATTGGACAAACATTTTTGTGCAAGTTCTTGTGTGACGCACCTGTACGCGCGACACTTCAGGAATAGTGCTTAGAAGGAGAGGATAGGACAGTCAGGGAGCAGCAGGGCCCAGAGCAGGTGCTCTGGCAGAACTGAGCAAGCCAAGGGGCCCTTCCTGTGGCTAATTTGGGAGAAGCTGAGCAGATTGTAGTAGTACATTGCCCCAAAAGTGGGTTTGAAATCTTTCCTAGACCAGATACAACCAGGAGCAGTAAAGGCTTTAACTGCATAAAAATTGAACATGTTAAAAAAAACAAAAATGTTTGGCCAGGTGCTTAGTGGCTCGGGCTTGTAATCCTAGCTACTCAGGAGGTTAAGATATGAAGATTGTGGTTCAAAGCCAGTTTTGGCAGAAAAGTCTATGAGACTCTTATATCCAACTAGCCACCAAAAGGCTAGAAGTGAATCTAGAGCTCAAGTGGCATAGCACTAGCTTTGAGCAAAAAGCTAAGAGAGAGTGCCCAGGCTTTGAGTTCAAGCCCCAGGATTGGTGTGCATGCATGCATATGTGTATGCATGCATGTGCGCACACACACACAAATTTTTGTGATAAGCTACCCAAAACGAAGCATATTACAAGGAGGTTAATGCATAGGAGCTCCTATAAATCACCAAGAAAGAGGGAAACTAATGGACAAAGGATATGAATAGATCATTTCAAAAGCAAAAAGATACATACAAAAGACCTATCTTCAGTAGCAATTAAGGGAATACATATCAGAACAAGATGCCATTTTGTTTACCCATTTAGCTGGCAAAATTTAAGAAACAAACATCATTGGATACTACATACAGGCTTATGTCTGTAACTCCAGCTACTCAGGAGGCTGAGATGTGTGGATTGTAGTGAAAGCCAAATGTGGCTTAACTGGTAGAGGGTCAGCCCTGAGCAAAAAAGGCTAAGGGAGAGTGCCTTGGTTCTGAGATCAAGCTCTATACTGGTACATGTACGTGTACACATGCACATGCGCACACACACACACAAATTATTGAATTTAGCATGGCAAAGTGAAGGGAAATGGATCATTTCTTCCACTGATATTGACAATTAATTTTTGTTGTTGTTGTTGGCGGCTGTGGGGCTTGAACTCTGGGCCTAGGCACTGTCCCTCAGCTCTTCAGCTCAAGGGGTAGTGCTCTACCACTTGAGCCTCAGCACCACTTCGGGCTTTTTCTGTTATGTGGTGCTGAGGAATCTAACCCAGGGCCTCATGCATGCAAGGCAAGCACTCTAACACCAGCCCAACAATTAAACCTTTAAAGGGCTGTTAACTATTTAAAGTATGTCTACCCTTTGTTCCAATGATTCCATTTTTAGGAAAACAAGAATACAAGGAAGTCAGTGGTATCACAGAAACATTTGCTGAGGGTCAGCATTTATCTAAGCAGAAGTCCACTTAGAAAGCCAAGTTAGGTAACTTTCTCAGGATCACACAAGTAGTGTGTGGTAGCAGCAGGATTTCTGGTCAGTCGTTTGTTTCCAGACTCTGTCCTCAATGACTATGCTCTCAAATAAGAAATACAGAGTAGGATATAGTGCAGTTCTTGGAGAATGAGGGAGATTTCTGTCTACTGAGATGGACACATTTCTAGGATACAACGGTGAACCAAGTTGCAAAACACTGTGAGGTACAATTCCATTTATGTAGGAAAAGATGTATTTTATCATACCCTCATACATATGAGAATGGATTAAAAAATGTGGCTTAACATCTGTCAAAAGATGGTCTTTTCTTCCAGGTAGACAGTCTTGGCTTTTTCTAGTCTATGTGAATAGATACTTGTAAAAGATGCCCAAAATGTGGTATGCATGTATGTTGGCCACTTTTTTTTTTTTTTTGGTCGGTCGTGGGGCCTGAACTCTGAGCCTGGGTGCTTTCCCTCAGCTCTTCAGCTCAAGGGTAACATTCTATCACAGAGTGTTTTCCGCTATGTGGTGCTGAGGAATCAAACCCAGGGCATCCTGCATGCTAGGCAAGCACTCTACCACTGAGCCACATTCCCAGCCCTGGTACAAAGCTTTTTAACTCAAGGTCTGGAGCTGTCTGTCCCTGAGCTACTGTTGCTTAAGGCTGGTCTACCACTTGAGCCGTATCTCCACTTCCAGCTTTTTGCTGGTTAACTGAAGGTATCATTCTCATGGACTTTCTTGTCCAGGTTGGCTTCGAACCACAACCCTCAGATCTCGGCCTCCTGAGTATCTAGGAGTACAGGTGTGAGCCATCTGTGACCAGTTTAATGCTCTTTTGTAAATAAGGTGGTACTGGGGCCATGACTTCCTGTTACCCCACCAAGCTCCATAAAACTATAAAACCAGTCATTGCAAAGTTAAGTTGCAACCCGAGAACCACATGGTGTTTCTTTTACCTTGCATGTCATATTGTCAGCAGGGGGAAAAAAATCCATAATCATGGTAATTCTTTTGCTCTTGTTGCATGAGTAGGAGTGTCTCTTGGTAGGGTCTGTAACTGTCTACAGAATTAAAGGAGTTATACTTCAATTTAATCCTTTGAAGGAATAAAGCTTACCTTTTACCAGAAGTCAGTGGATTTAACTGAGAAGAAACTGTATTGGATCATTCAAAGCTTCTTCCAGCATTGGTCCAAGTAAGAGTGGCTTAACCCCCAAAAGGGGAGATGAGGCATCCAGGACACTCACTGATTAAAACACTCTTTTACAAGGTCAGGCCTTTAGCCTGTCTGTGAACTTATCTCTGGCATGCCAGCCAGAAGGTTCTTAAGATTCTTACTACTTATGGATATCAGATTGTAGTGTGTTTTTTTTTTTTTTGAGTGACCCGCATGTCCTAGTAGTGATTTTTTTTTCTTAAACAGGGGAAAAAAATCCCATTTACTTAAAAACGGTATCCTATCGTTCTTAACTGCCACGCATCTTAGTTTGAAATAGCAGGCATAATCTTTTTGCATGAAAACAAGTTTCCAGTATACGGTTTCATGGACTCAACATACAGTCTGCATACCTGCCAGGATTCCTTCTGTTCCTATGACGGAGGAGTCTGGGAGCCTTCTGGATTTTTCTGTTGCTGGACAATTGGGCCTATGACCCCCCCCCCCCCACGAACATTCTGAATAGCCTGCTGTAAACATCTTTATGCAAGTCCTCCCCCTCCCCTTGGATCATTTCCTTCTACATGTACTTCCTTAAATGGGCTGGCGGGGTCAAAGGGGCGCTAATGAACAGCTTTATGGCTCTCGGCGCATATTTTTCAGATGGCTCCCGGGGTCGGGCTGGGGAGAGGGCAGGAATGCGGAGGGGCGGCCGCAGCCCCTCGCCCCTCTTCCTCCGTCCCCCCCCCCCATCCAGGGCCCCCGCCAAGGCCCGCGAGGGCGGGAAGCGCTGCTCCGACGCTCTCCGCGGCGGCCCGGCTGGAGGCAGGGAACGGCTGGAGGTTTTCTAGAAGCCAGGAGTTCTACCCCGGGGGCGGGAACTTCCCCGGCCAGGCCTTCCCGCCCCAGGACGCGGATTCCAGCCGCCCCCGCTCGCTGCCAGCGCCCGCGCCCCACCCCGCGGCCCGCGGCGCCCCCCACGCCCCGCCCGGGCCCCCTCGGCGCGGCCCGCCGGGCGGCCGGCGACCGCACGGGGCCCGCGTAGCTGCGCGCTGAGTCAGCGGGGACGCCTTCCCCGCCGCCCGGGGCCTGGGCGCCGCCTCGGAGGCCGCGGGGCCGGCCGGGCGGGAGGGGTCGCGAGCGAAGGCTTCGCGGGTCTCAGAGCCCGAAAGGGGGCGCGAGGAGGAGGATCGGGGTGCGGGGTGAGAACGGAAGCGCGGCGAGCGCTGCCCCGCGGCCGGGGCGGGGCCAGCAGGCCGAGGGGGCGGGGCCCGGGGCGCGCGCGCACGGGTCGGGGACGGGCGCGCGCGCAGGCGGCCGCGGGCGGAGGGATTGTGGGTAGCGGCGGCGCGCGGCCGGGCAGGGCCGGGCGCGGGAGTGCGGTGAGGGAGCGGGCTCGTGGGAGCCGGAGGCGGCCGGCGGCGACATGGGAGCGGACGGGCGGCGGCCGTAGTGGCTCGAGTCTGGGCTTCAGACTCCTGGGTCCCCGAGGGCGGGGCGGCCGGTGCCGCCGCCACTTCCCGGCTCGCGCCGGCGGAGTCCTGGAGAGCTCGCCGCGGACCCGCGGACCGGGCGGCGCGGGTCTGACTGAGGGGCGGGGACGCCGTCCGCTCCGGGCCTCACGGGGCCGGGCCCCTCGGAGCAGCCCCCGGGCCCGGGACGGCGCGGAGACCCGAAGCCGCTGCTTCGGAGCGGACGCTGGGCCCGGGCGTAGCCCCGCCTGGAGCCTGGCGGGTCGGGGGCGGCGCTAGGCCCGGAGGCGGCGGGATCCGTGCGCGAGGAGCCGGAGTGCGGGCCCGGAGGTGGCGGCATGAGCCGGCCCCCGCCGACGGCGAAAATGCCCGGCGCCCCCGAGGCCGCGCCGGGGGACGGGGCCGGCGCCGGCCGCCAGAGGAAGCTGGAGGCGCTGATCCGGGACCCGCGTTCCCCCATCAACGTGGAGAGCCTGCTGGTAGGTGGCCGGGGCGGGGGGGGGGGCGGGTGGCCGGGACGCCGCCCGCGCTAGCTCGGGTCTCACACCCGCACACGCCCAGCTCCCGGCGGCCGGGGCCGGAGATTTGACCCGGACCTGCACTTGGGAGACTCGAGGTCCGAGCGTGCAGACCGGCTTGGGCCCCTCCCTCCTCCGCCCGCCGCCCGCCGGCGGGGCCCGTGTCATCTCGGCTGCTGCCTTTTTCTTGGAGCGCTGGGAGGGAGCGCTCCTCTGCTTCCCGCCTCCCCTGTCGGTTTGGGGCGGAAAGGTGGAGGATTGGCTGTCCCGACGCTGGACTGGCCAGTTTGAAAGTGTCACGCTGCGTGGGGACTTGGGTGTCAGCTGGGGAGAAAGGAACCCGACGCCGGGCCCTCCGCCTCGGGGACTAGCACCTGGGCCACCTGACAAAGAGCTCTGCCCGTTGGAGTCGGAAATCGTGGAGCACGCAGCTCAAGTTTTGCCGTTTTCCCTGGGTGTTGACTATCCCTCGGGAGTCATCGCGTGCCTTTTATTTCAGGCAAATTTAATTTTCCTGAATTGATGCCCCAAAGCTTAAAAAAAAAAAGAGGCTGGCGTGTAGAATGAGATAAATCTGTCCCCTTCCTCCTTTGAAGTCCAAATGAATAGCAAAGGCTGATAGTTGCCTCTTGATTAAGAAAGGAACACGTTTTTACAAATAAATGCACCCTACATGTTGACGTAGGTCTCTTTTTGTGAGATTATTGTATTTTACAAGCGAATTTGATTAGTATGTTTTGTGGAAGCATTTGTGGGAAAAGGTGGCGTGAACTTCTCCCCTGAGAAGGAGGAGGGGAAAAGATTCTTTGACTGTCCAGTGAACTCTGGAGGACTGGAGTGATGGTGGGTGAAAGACATTCTGTGCCAGAACTCAGATGTTCAGTTCTACGCCCTCCTGGGAGAAGCATAGTGACTCTGGTGGGGGGGAAAAAACCCTCCCACTGATTTTTCTTTGGAGGCCGTCGGCTATCCTTGAGGTTTCTGGAATCATTTTTCAGAGTGACTCAGTCCTGTTTGGCCAAAATGTAGGAGCTGATTGGAGAGTGTGGATCCTTCTATACATTGTGTATAGATTCCTTACTATATTGTATCAAAACGTAGTGATGTTTTATATTGTATCATCATTTGACTGTTCATTGTATCGATCGATTGATTTAAAAAAAAATTAAACTGATTTTCTAGATAGCGCTTCATTCCTTTCCCAGGAACATGAAGCCTTGGACTGTGTTTGGAAAGTCATAGGATTGGTAGCATGGAGGTCGTAGCCTTTTCTAGAGAAAACTCCGGGCTTCACTCCTAGCATTTTCACTTTGGTATTTGCTAGCAAAACTTTGACCCAGGGCCAGAAAGTCCAGTTAAAAATAGTATCTGTAAGCCTCAAGTATTCATCAGCTTCATACTCTATCTCAGATAGAAAATTTTTACACTTCACTTTCATCTCGTAGACCTGTAGTGATGTTAATTGTAATTATTAGGGTTATTCCGAGCTTGGAACTGAGCTTTTACTATGAATGGTATGACCATGTATCTTTGTTTTATTAAAAGTGTTTCTAAATTATTACAGTGAGGGCTCTTTTACAAAATGAAACATTTCACATGTTCAGTAAACAATTTAGTCTGTTTATTAATTGAGTGCTTAATATAGCAATACATTCATTAAGGTGACATATTACTGGTATAAGTGTGGACAGTAGATGCTTCTGACTTGACAGTCCTGTTACTGCTGCCTATTTAGTTGATTAACTATCACTCTGAATAGGGATGTGAATGTGAAGATGAAGTATTCGGATGAGCTAGTATTTTGATTATGGTAACATGCATAAAATTTTCTATTTTAACCATGTTTAAGTGTAGAGTTGTTCAAGCCACCAATGCTACCCCATTCCCATAACTTTTTCGTCTTTCCAGACTGAAACACTGTAGATTAATCTTTTTTTTTTTTTTTTTGGTCTAGTTGTGGGGCCTGAACTCTGGGCCTGGGCGCTGTCCCTCAGCTCTTCAGCTCAAGGCTAGCGCTCTACCACTTGAGCCACAGCAGCACTTCTGGCTTTTTCTTTTTGCTTATATGGTGCTGAGGAATCGAACCCAGGGCCTCAGGCATGCAAGGCAAGCGCTCTACCACTGAGCCACCTTCCCAGCCCCTGTATATTAATCTTTAAAAGAATGTTATAAAAATTTCTAGTTTCAGAAATGAAATAATGACTGGTGTCACTTGAAAGACTTGAAGCCTTTCTATGGGGTGTGTGCTTCACAATTGATCACTGCATTACCGCCCATTGCCTTTCTTTTGATTCACCCTGGAAAACATTGCCCTTAACAGAAAAATTCAAGATATATATGTTTATATTTATATATGTATATATATTTTCATCTTTTTTGGTCAGTGGTGGGGCTTGAACTTGAGGCCTAGGCACTGCCCTTGAGTTCTTTTTGCTCAAGGCTAACGCATACCACTTAGAGCCACAGTGCCACTTCTGGTTTTCTGGTGGTTAATTGAAGATAAAAGTCTCATGGATCTTTCTGGCTTTGAATCTGGATCCTCAGATCTCAGCTTCCTGAGTAGTTAGTATTACAAGTATGAGCTACCAGCCCTGCCAGCCAGCTTTCCTGCTTCTGTCTGTCTGTCTGTCTGTCTGTCTATCTAATATTCTAATGTAAATGCCAGCATGGAATGTTGGTTACTGAATTCAGGTTCTCAGAAAGTACCATGGAAAAGTGTATACTTCTGAGGATGACAAAATTGAGATGGTGGTTTGCTGGAGGGCCCTGTACAATGCCTTCAGTAAGCTAGGTCTAGAAGGTAGAAAGTGAAGTGCTAGGTGTGTAGTAAGTTTAGTTCACTTCTCTTATGTGCATTTGGCTTATTTTTAGTTAATTTCTTTAACTATTCCTTGAAGAAGAAAATGGTCTTATTTACAGTTATTTTTGTTACATATTTTTGAATGTATATATTATCACAAAATCATGAATTTACCATCATAAAAGTGTTAGCCATGAAGTGTAGATGCACCTGCATTTCAAGATTGTGTCTGTATGGAGTCTAAATTACCTTGCTTCTTGGCTGAGGTGGTTGCTTTATGTGGGTTCTTAAATTGTCCCCCACAAATCTCTTTTGTGATTGTAGAGTGGGAGGTGCTTGGTATTATGTAAATAGTTGAGCAAAGCTTGTTTCTTTAATATTATGAGAAGGTAGAGGGGGCTCCAGGGATATATCTTGTAATGTTTGAGACCTCTTTTTTTCCCTTTCCTTTCCTCTTTCCTCTTTTTTCTTTTCTTGCCTGTCCTGGGGTTTAAACTCAGAGCCTGGGAGCTGTCCAGGAGCTTCTTTTGCTCAAGGCTAGTGCTCTCCCATTTGAGCGGTGGTGGTGGTGGTGGTCGTCGCAGTCATGGTCATTGTCGTCGTTGTCGTCCTGGTTCTGGTCCTGGTCCTGCTTCCTTCCTTTTTCCCTCTCTTCTTCCTCCTTCCTCTCTTCTCCTCTTCCTTCCTCCTTCCTCCCTCCCCACCCCCCCCTTCCTCCTTCTTCGAGGTTAGAGTCTCACAGACTTTGTGTGAAATGGTTTTGAACTTTGATCCTCAGATCTCAGCCTCCTAAGTAGCTAGGATTATAGTCATGAATGACCAATGTCCTGGAAGACCTTTTTTTTTTTGGCCAAGATATTGCTTATCTGTTATGGTAAAAGGAATGTTTGTTTTAGTGTTGTGCTGGAGAGATGTCTTTTGAAGTCTGTACTTTTGAATTTTGACTTACTTTACTCTTTTTTTGGGGGGTGTGTGGTCGTGGGGCCTGAACTCTGGGCCTGGGTGCTGTCCCTCAGCTCTTCAGCTGCAGGCTAACACTACCACTTGAGCCACAATGCCACTTAGGGCTTTTTTCTTTTTGCTTATGTGGTGCTGAGGAATTGAACCCAGGGCCTCAGGCATGCAAGGCAAGCGCTCTACCACTGAGCCACCTTCCCAGCCCCTTATTTTACTCTTTCAAAGAGTAAATAGTCAGAATTAACCCATAGAATTCAGTGTTAGGAAAACTGTTACATGTATGGATGAGCAAAGACGATTAAACATTTATTTATAATAGTTTTCAGTGGCTTAGAAAACAAAGTACCTAGTTTGATGGCTAAAATTATGCTTATAAACTATATGGAAATATTTCTCTACAGCGATCCATTTTTGTGTTTGGTAGTCTGAGTACCGAACCCAGGTCCTTATACATTATAGGCCAGTGTTCTCCTACTGAGGTACATCTCCAGCCCCGTGGAAATACTTCCCACCAAAGTGCTTTAGGTTCTTTGAGCTTGCTGCTGGTTATTTTCCTAACTAAAATGAAATTGTATGTCTTTCTTTTTTCCTTCCTTCCTTCCTTCCTTCCTTCCTTCCTTCCTTCCTTCCTTCCTTCCTTCCTTCCTTCCTTCCTTCCTTCCTTCCTTCCTTCCTTTTTCTTTTGTTGGTTGTGGGGTTTGAACTCTGGGCTTGGGTGCTGTCCCTGTGTTCTTCAGCTCAAGGTGAGCGCTGTACTGCTTGAGCCACAGCACCACTTCCAGTTTTCTAGTAGTTTTTATTGGAGATAAGAGTCTCATGAACTTTCCTGCCCGGGCTGGCTTTGAACCAGGATCCTCAGATCTCAGCCTCCTGCGTAGCTAGGATTACAGGTGTGAGCCACCGGCACCCGGCATCTTTCTTTCACTATGTAATCAATGAGGACATTTGAAGATATAAAAATGAAATAGAATAAAGGTTGAAGAAATTTTATATATGCTTTTCTTTTGTGAAGTGCATTAGTTTAAAACTTACACTTTGAAGGAAAATTTTTTTTTTTTTTGGGGGTCCGGTCGTAGGGCCTGAACTCTGGGCCTGGGCGCTGTCCCTCAGCTCTTCAGCTCAAGGCTAGCACTCTACCACTTGAGCCACAGCGCCACTTCCGGCTTTTTTCTTTTTGCTTATGTGGTGCTGAGGAATCGAACCC